ATCAGCAGGCTCTGGAGGAAAAAAAAAAAAAAGCAGCCCGGTGTACTCGGTGAGCTCAGCCCACTGCCAGGGAAAACCGGGGCCTGGTCGGCCTTCGGGGTCTGTGTGGGAAGACTCTCTCCCCATCTTCAAAATCTTCAAGATGAAAACCTGAGCTGGAGCTTAGAAAGAGAACATGGCATGAAAAAGTTTCCAGAAAGAAGGGGTGTGCTGGGACGGGGTGGGGTTGTCTGTCTGGATTGTGGCCTAAAAGATTTATATTTTATTACCTTTGAAAATGGAGTGTTTTTAATATAAATTCATGGTGGGAAAAAAAATGTTCACCTCCTCAGCCAGCCAACTGTCTGTATTTTGGATGACTCAATTGTACTTCAACTCAGCATTACGTGAGGAGCTATCTTGATCATCGGGACATGTTCCACATTGAGTCTAGATTGTGCCTAGAGAAGTAAATTGTGCTAAGATTAAACTGGAGGGTCCAACTCTGCTTTGACTCTCTTCTGCCATTACAATTTCTGTTAACCTTACACTATTGTTCCAAGATTTTGGCAGTGCCTCTGTGCAAAAGAAGGCAGGCAAAATTCGTGTTTGAAAGCTCACCTTAGAATAAAGCAATGTAGCAATCAATATTGGCGAAAATATGGGCCTTCTTGCCAGATTACATTTTTAGTCTGGCTTGTTAGCATTTGATCTTGGCAGGTTATTAGCCTTCCCAAACCTTATTTTCCCTGTCTGGTAAGTGAGAATAACAATGGCTGCCTTGACTAACCTACAGGATGACTTGTAAGATTCCCCTCTGAAAAGAAATGCTGAAAAAATGCCAATGATTATGTGCTTCAGAGACTGTAATAACTTCATGTATATCACTGTAGGACTTCTCTATCTGAAATGATTGCTCTATGACATGTGTGTGGTCTCATACAGGTGTGCCTTATTTGATTGCTTTTTGCTTCATAGTGTTTCACACATTGGGTTTTTACAAAGATATTGGGTTTTTTACAAAGTGAAGGTTTGTGACAAAGGAGATTACAATTTGGTGAAGGCTGAAGGTCAGCATTTTTTAGCAATAGAATATTTTCATTATTTTTAAAATTTTTTTTACATCATTGTTCATTTTTAAACAATATTTGCTCCCCTCCCCACCCGCTCAGCTATAGTCCCCATAGAGTTTCCTTCACCCATACACCCATGCACCATCACCTCAGTCCCCTGTGCTTCTTCCTCTCTCCCCCTGATCCCTCTCCCTCCTCCTCCCCTGCAGTATGTCTCTGATTTATAATTGTCTGTTTTTTCTTTGTTGTGTTTTGTACTGTTACTATTTTTTCACACTGATATCTTATTGGGTTCCCCTATATTCCTACTATAAGTGAAACCATGCGATATTTTTCTTTTTCCTTCTGGCTTATTTCACTGAGCATAATTCCTTCTAGCTCCATTCACATTGCTGTGAATGGCATGAGTTTATTGTTTTTGATTGCTGAATAGTATTCCACTGTGTATATATACACCACATCTTCTTGATCCAGTCATCTATTTTTGGGCATTTGGGTTGTTTCCAGGTTTTTCCTATTGGAAATAGTGCTGCAATAAACATAGGGGTACAGGCGTTCTTTTGAATCAATGTTTTTGTGTACTTTGGGTAGATCCCTAGGAGTGGAATTGCTGGGTCATATGGTAGCTCCATTTTTAGTAGACCGAGGAACCTCCAGACAGCTTTCCATTGTGGTTGGACCAGTTTGCACTCCCACCAGCAATGTAGGAGAGTTCCTTTTTCACCACATCCTCGCCAACACTTGTTGTTGCTTGTTTTTTTGATATGTGCCATTCTTACTGGTGTAAGGAGGTATCTCGATGTGGTTTGATTTGCATTTCCCTGATTATAAGGGATGTTGAACATTTTTTCATATGCCTGTTGGCCATTTGCATTACCTCTTTGGAGAAATGTCTTTTAAGTTCTTCTGCCCATTTCCTGACTGGATTGTTTATTTTGTTTTTGTTAAGTCCTGTGAGTTCTTTGTATATCTTTGTGATCAGTCCCTTATCAGTTGAAAGGAATGCAAAGATTTTTTTCCCATTCAGTGGGGTGTCTCTCTGTTTTGGTTAATGTCTCTTTTGCTGTGCAGAAGCTTTTCAGTTTGATGAAATCCCAGGTGTTTATCTTTTCCTTGACTATCTTTGTTTTGGGTGATGAGTCTTTAAAGATGGGATTGCGATGCATGTCTTGTAGTTTTTTACTTATATTTTCTTCTATATATTTTATGTTTCAGGTCTTATGTCCAGTTCTCGTACCCACTTTGAATTAATTTTTGTGCATGGTGAGAGGTAGTGGCCTAGTTTCATTTTTTTGCATGTGGTGGTCCAGTTTTCCCAGCACCATTTATTGAACAAACTGTCCATGTTCTGTTGCATATTCTTTGCTCCTTTGTCAAAGATCAGTTGTCCATATAAGTGTGGTTTTATTTCTGGGCTCTCTATTCAGTTCCATTGGTCTGTGTGTCTGTTTTTGTTCCAATACCAAACTGTTTTAATTATTATGGCTTTGTAGTATAGCTTGAAGTTTGGAAGTGTGATACTTCCTTTCTCCTTTGTTTTCATCAATAGGGATTTGGCTATTCATGTTTTTTTGTGGTTCTATATGAATTTCCTCAATATTTGTTCTATTTCTTTGAAGAATGTCATTGAGATTTTTATTGGAATAGCATTAAATCTGTATATTGCTTTTGTTAGGATGGCCATTTTAATAATATTAATTCTTCCAATCCATGAGCAGGGGATGTCTTTCCATTTCTTTGTGCCTTCTTCTATTTCTTTTAACAATGTTTTATCATTTTCTTTGTATAGGTCTTTCACCTCTTTTGTTAGGTTTATTCCCAAGTATTTGATTTTTTTTTAAAGATTTGTTTATTTTATTTATACAAGCACTGAGTACAGTAAGAAGCATGGGAGGGTGAGAGAATTCACCAGAGCCAGAGCAGGGAGCAGAACAGGCAGAAGGACCGAGGTACACTGCTGAGGGGAGCAGCGGGCGGCAGGAGGGTTCTGCACGCCATGTGGGACCCTCACCCAGTGGCTGGGTATCGAACCGGCGCTGCAGAGGCTGCGGGCAGCTTCACAACCCAGCACTCAACCGCTGCGCCACCAGGGAGGCCCTTGATTTTTTTTTGTTTGTTTGTTTCAATTATAAAAGGGATGGTTTTCTTGATTTCTTCTTCTTCAGATTGTTTGTGTATAGAAAGGCAACTAATTTTTGCGTGTTGATTTTGTATCCTGCTATTTTACAGAACTGGTTGATTATTTCCAGTAGTTTTTCTGTGGAGTTTTTAGGGTTCTCTACATATATTATCATATCGTCTGCAAATAGTGACAGTTTTACTTCTTCTTTCCCTCTCTGGATTCCTTGTATGTCTTTCTCTTATTGCCCTGGCTAGGACCTCCAGTGCAATAGAATATTTTTAGTTGAGATATGTACATTTGTATGTTTTTATAGGTATAATGCTATTGCATACTTACTAGACTACAGTATAAAATAAACAAATTTTATATGCATTGGGATACCAAAAAAGTTGCATGACTCATTTGATGCAATACTGGCTTTGTTGCAATGTACATTTTATTGCTCTAATCTGGAATGGAGCCCTCAGTTTCTCTGCGGTGAGCCTGTAAAAAGTCACTGCCCACCTGCCCTGTGGTATCAAACTTTTAATATATTATCCTGTCATGGGAAGGGCTCTAGAACATTGGTAGTAGATGAGATGAGGTTTACCCACACATGGAGGTGAAGATGTACCCTGAAATGCTCCTTTTGGTAATTCAATAAAATATACAGAATATTACAAATCAGCCTGGTTTTCACAGGTTCACAAACTTGCTCCCATAGCAGCCGCCCCAGCCCTGCAGCTGGCAGTGCCATTCTTTGCTTGTTCAGTCTGGCAACCTCTTTTTGTTATGTCCATGTAGAGAGGGACTCCTGACAACAACCTATCAGCAAAGCCTGTAGGCTCTACCTATGAAATATAGCCAGTCGGACCACTTCTCCCACCCTGGTCAGGCCACCAGGCTTATCACCATAGATTTCTTCCAGTGATCCATGCTGGATCCATGCCCCAATCTATACATGGCAATCCTTTCACAAAAGTCAGTTCATATCACTCTGTTGCTCAGAACCTGCCAGTGGCCCCTTCTCACTCAGTCTGACCACTGCCTGTGACTCCTACACACTGCCCCTGGGCCTCACCGACCTCACCCCTGCCAGGCTCAGGTTACTTGGGTTATACTAGTCCGCTTGCCTTTCTGGAGCCATGCAAGCACTCTCCTATCTTTGCAGTTTGCAGCTGCTGTTCTTCCTTGGGGGCAGGCACCGCTCTTTCCCAGGTACCATCTGCTCACTGGTCTCTCTCTTCAGGACTTTGCCGCCTTATCTGAATACAACATGTAAGATAAACAGCCCTCTCCACACCCTAAACCAGTGGGCAGTCTCTAGCCCCCTTAGTCTGCTTTTTCTCTATAACACTTGTCCCCACTGACACATATTTTTATTTGTCTATTGTTTGTCTTCCCCCTCATCCCTCCTACTGCTACAGCCAAATGTTAGCTTCACAAAATCAGAAACTATTTTATTGTTATATCCCCAGAGCCTAAAACAGTGCCTGAATCAGAGTAGGGCCTCACAAAATATTTGTTGACCATGAACAAATATATTGATGGGCTAGCTAGTAATTAGTGAAGTTTAACTTCTAATATTTATAGACCTTTTAAATCTGTACATTTGTAAGTTTGTTTCCTAACTTTTGTTCATTTTTTTTCCCTACAGAAATCATTTTCTCTGTATATGCTCTACATACTCAAATTTTTTGTACATAAATTGCTTTTTATGTTGAAATGTACACTGTAGGATAAGGTACTGTTTTCATTTAAGGAATCTGACAGGTGTTTTAATATTGATAAGTCACTGATACATGAATAATTTCCTTCTGTTTCTCTAATTTTAACTGGATTCTCAGAATTGGACTCTTGTGCTTTGGGCGATCATGGTTGTGAGCATTCATGTGTAAGCAGCGAAGACTCTTTTGTCTGCCGATGCTTTGAAGGGTATACGCTCCGTGAAGATGGGAAAACCTGCAGAAGTAAGTTTTCAGAGGAGTTGGCTAATATTACTGTGTCTGACTTCTGCATGAAATCCACCATCTTGATTATCTGTAAATCAGTTATTCTCAAAAGCCAATGCTACACTTTCACTAAGTGTAATGTGGGATCCTGAATGAAATCTTGGATCAGTAAAAAATTTCATTTAATAAAAACAAAGGGAATGGAAATAAACTGTGAACTTTAGTTGATAATAATATATCAGCATTGGTCCATTAATTGTAATGCATCATACTCATTTAAGAGGTTAACAATAGGGACAGTGGGTATGCGGTATATGAGAACTCTGCACTACATTCTGTTCTTCTGTCTAAAATTGGCCTAACAAAGTCCAAGGAAAACAAAGAAATGTGCAAACAAAAAAGTTAATGTCAAAGCTAGAACAAATGTTGCTCATTTGTGTTCTATGGCAAGGAGATGTGGTTTAGCATTGTGCTCTAGTAGAAAGAGGTGCATCCTGAAATCCAAGATTCTATGAACCCCTAGTGCTGCCATTTATTTCCTGGACATGTTTCTTGACTTCTCTGAGCCCCTGTTTACTTATATTTAATAGGCCATTGTTGTTTCTTGTAGTACAGATCCCTGAGAGAGATCACCCGCTGAGGGGACTATTCTTCTATCTCAGAAAGCAGAGCTGCTTAGATGAGGCCCAGATACTCTTTGTATAATCAAAGGGAGTGTGTTGTTCTGAGCAAATGATTTTCACCCCTATAGTCACCTTTTTCTGGAATTTCTCAAAGCACTTAACAAAGAGCAACCCATGCTCTTGTTCAAAGAAAAGATGTATAACAAATGATTACTCCCATTTTTCAAACAAAAAGATAAGGCTCCGAGAGGTTAAGTGTTCCCTCACATCATATATACTATGTCAAGGACAAAACCAAAATAACATTTCAGTGTTGCTAATCTAAAATGAGGTTTACTCTCCTAAGTAATCATGCCAACAATGTTTCCATTCTTACATCAGAAACTATATCTGCAGAAAACTAATGATGGATTGCATTTTTATGAGATCCTGGTGGGTGATGATGATGATGATAGTGAGAAACGTTGAAAAGTTAGCCCCACTTAGAGTTTCTGGACTTCATTCTCAATTTTTTTTTCCTTCCCTGTCAAGGATCACTGAGCTCAAGTGGCTCTTGAGTTCAGTAGCTGAGATAAATGGATCCTCCAAGGTAAAGCCGGGGAAAATTTATGTTGGTGAAGTTATTTTACTTGCTCTGCTATCCTCAGGGAAAGATGTCTGCCAAGCAGTAGACCACGGCTGTGAACACATGTGTGTGAGCAGCGATGAGTCGTACATCTGCAAGTGCTTGGAGGGATTCTGGCTCGCTGAGGATGGGAAACGCTGTATAAGTAAGTGGCCTCAAGGTAGAGATGAACTTTTCCATCTGTGGGACTCAGATGGTTATAGAACTTCATTTCATCTTTATAATCTCCTTTTATTATCAATGTCACAAATCTACGTTCCTGCCTAGAGAGCTCTGAAAGTGTTTTGTTAGTGATGAGTACAGTAGACCCCTATTTCTTTTTTTTTTTCTTTTTTTTTAAATAATAAATTTTATTGTTATATTCCCCATACAATTGCAGCCCCCCCATTCTGACCCCAATCCCTCCCCTCCCGCCCCCGCCCCCCTAAAAGTGTCTCTGGTTCATAGTTTTTTGTTGATTTTGATTTTCACTTTCTTAAAGTTATTCATTTTCCTGGTCCCTTATTTAAGTTTTCTAGATTCCTGTTTTGAGTGAGACCATCCGGTATTTTTCTTTTTCTTTTTGGCTTATTTCGCTGAGCATGATCCCTTCCAGCGCCATCCATGTTGCTGCAAATTGCATGTGTTTATCTTTTTTGAATGCTGAGTAATATTCCATGGTATATATGTACCACATCTTCTTGATCCAGTCATCTATTTTTGGGCATTTGGGTTGTTTCCAAAGCTTAGCTATTGTAAACAGTGCTGCTGTAAACATAGGGGTGCAGGTGCTCTTTGGAATTGATGTTTCTGTGTCTTTTGGGTAAATACCTAGGAGTGGAATTGCTGGATCATATGGAAGTTCTATGTTTAGTAGGTCCAGAAATCTCCACACAGCTCTCCATAGTGGTTGGACCAGTTTGCACTCCCACCAACAGTGCAGGAGAGTTCCTTTTTCTCCACAACCTCGCCAACATTTGTTGTTGCTAGTTTTTTTAATATGTGCCATTCTCACTGGTGTAAGATGGTATCTCATGGTAGTTTTGATTTGCATTTCCCTGATGACAAGTGATGTTGAACATTTTTTCATATGCCTGTTGGCCATTTGCATTTCCTCTTCAGAGAAGTTTCTTTTTAGCTCTTCTGCCCATTTTTTGACTGGATTATTTTCTTTGTTGTTGTTGAGTCTCGTCAGCTCTTTGCAGATTTTTGTGATCAGTCCTTTATCATTAGTGTTGGGTGCAAAAATGTTCTCCCAGTTGGTGGGGTTTCTCTTTGTTTTTGTTATTGTCTCTTTTGCTGTGCAGAAGCTCTTTAATTTGATGTAGTCCCAGCTGTTTATCTTTGCCTTCACTATCACTGCTTTGGGTGATGTGTCTGTAAAGATGTCTTTGGTGTGCAAATCACGTAGTGTTTCGCCTATATTTCCTTCTATATATTTTATGGTTTCAGGTCTTATGTCTAGTTCTTTAATCCATTTTGAGTTGATTTTTGTGTATGGTGTGAGGTAGTGGTCAAGCTTCATTCTTTTGCATGTAGCGACCCAGTTTTCCCAGCACCATTTATTGAACAAACTTTCTTTGCTCCAATGCATAGTCTTTGCTCCTTTGTCAAAGATTAGTTGACCATAAATCTGTGGGTTTATTTCTGGATTTTCTATTCGATTCCATTGGTCTGTATGTCTGTTCTTGTTCCAATACCATGCAGTTTTGATGATTATGGCTTTGTAGTATAGTTTGAAGTCTGGGAGTGTGATGCCTCCATTCCCTTCTTTTTTTTTCAGGAGAGCTTTGCTTTTCGGGGTTTTTTGTGATTCCATATGAATTTCATCAATAATTGTTCTATTTCTTTGAAGAAGGACATTGAAATTTTGATTGGAATAGCATTGAATCTGTATATTGCTTTTGGTAGGATGGCCATTTTAATAATGTTTATTCTTCCAATCCATGAGCAGTAGACCCCTATTTCTTCAGGGATTTCTCAGTACAGGTCCTGAGTTGTCAGGTTCTTTGCCTTTTTTCATTTTCTTCTGACTGTCGGTCCCTCCCACAAAATGTGTGTGGATGCCCAGAGCCTAGCACAGTGCCTGGGTACTCATTGGACTGAAGCAGAATCTCTGCAGCAGACACTGAGGACCAGAAGCCAGTTATAGTGTTTCTTCTTCCTGAAAGACTCATAAGCAAGAGTAGAGGGTGGAATAGTGGCTGAAGGAGTTGTCTATAGGTGTCATTTAGCCATTCTCTCTGTCACTTGCTCTGTAACTCACTCAGAATAGATTCTGAGAGTTTACTTAAAAGTCAGGATTCTCCATGGGACTCGCTGGTGGCATAAGGGATTAAGTTGCAGCACTCTGAAGCTATCCACAGCCACTGCGGCAGGAGTTTGATTCCTGGCCCGGGAGGTGACCTACATGGTACAGCAGACTTCTCCTGTCTTGCCTGCTACTCCCCTCAGCAGTGTATTTCAGTACATCTATCTGTTCTGCTCCCCACTCTGTCTCTGGTGAATCCTCTCACCACACTCATCTCTGGCCTGCACCCTTACTCTTGTATGCATAAATAAATAAACCTTAAAAAAAAGTCGGGAGTCTCCAGAGAAACAGAACCAATAGGTTGTGTGTGTGTGTGTACAAAGTAAGAAAGAGACATAGAGACTGAGACATGTAGACAGACGGTAATTATGGGTTTGACAAGTGTGATATTACAGGGTAGACTGGCAGGCCAGAGACCCAAGAAGAACTGAGGTTGCAGCTCTAGCCCAAAGGCAGTTTGGAAGCAGAATTCCTTCTCCATTTGGGGAACACGGTCTTTTTTCTCTTAAGATTCTTAAGATGAGGGACTCTGATATTATGGTGGATTGTCTGCTTTACTCAGTCTGTTACTTAAATGTTAATTTTATTTTTATTTTATTTTTTTTAAAGATTTATTTATTTATACAAGAACTGGGATACAGGCCAGATGTGCGGGAGGTTGAGAGGATTCACCAGAGACAGAGTGGGGAACAGAACAGGCAGAATGACTGAAATACACTGCTGAGGGGAGCAGCGGGCGAGACAGGAGAGGTCTGCCGCGCCATTTGGGTTGCTCCGCAGCCGGCAGGGATCGAGCAGCCTCACAGTGCTGCACTCAAATGCCTGTGCCACCAAGGAGGCCCCTAAATGTTAATTTTATTTTAAAAATATTCTTACAGCAGCATTTAGACTAGTATTTGACCAACCAACTGGGTACCACAGTTTAGCCAAGTTGACACATTAAATAAACTAACACAGCCCCAAAGGAAGAAAGAGGTAGGGCCACCCTAGATCCTCAAGGTGGGTGTTAGAAGAACACAGGACAGGGATTTTTCTGTTCTTTTGGATTCTGAGCTGTTAATACCTGCTTTGAGTGTTTTGACACTGTCTATTTGCTTTTATGACTGCCTTAGTGGGAAGAATGGCCCATTTTTTATTGAAACAAAAGAAATTGTTTTTGAGTTTGATTTGGGGAAATTCCTCACAATTTCCTTTGAGCCAAGTGGGGTACTCCACAGATGAGCAAAGCTGGATTGGATGGAACTCACTGCCCTCATGCTTACAACAGGATGAGGGGCTTCTACCTTTAGCAAGGAGTTCTCTCTAGTCCTGGGATGCCTGTGGGACCTTGGTGTAAGTTTGAAGGTCTTCCTGTGCTTTGTTTTGCCTTTACGCTATGGTATCCCTTCTATGGACACTGCATAGAGAGAAAGCCTAGAATTCTGTCCATTAATTCTGCATAAGCTGTTTGTTCATCTTTTTATTTCAGTGAACATGAGCATATACATAGCCACCATTTATTCATCCATCACATTTAGTAATCAGAAGCACAACTTCTCCCTGAAGAATTTGATCACTAATCTGGTCCCATCATTTCATTCCCTAGAGGGATCTATAGCCCCGTTTCAGTTTGGTAGGAAGCTTCTACTTTTAGGGACCTAAAGACAAAAAAGAACTGCAGATTTTCATGCCATGGGGGAAGATATTCAGGGGCCCTCATGCCTTAGCTGTGTCATCAATTTGCTGCATGACCTTGGGCAACTCTGACACTTGTCTTCATTTCTAAGTTGGGTGTAATTATCCCTGCCTGCCTTCTCTCACAGGATGTTGTGAAGATTAAAGAGCTGTTGCTACTTTGAAGAACTTAAAGTACCTCACACATGAGCAATGTTCATTAGACAATGAAAACTGGAGTATTTGGAATGTCTTTGAAGGGAAAACCACTAACTTGGAAAAATCAGAACCCAAAGCACCCCAAACAATTCTGAAAATAATAATCCCAGCTCTACAACATCATAAACCAATGTTACAACAACAATAATAATAAGTCTAGGATACCCAATCACCTGTCTTACCACTCAGGCTGGTAGGAGTGAGAGCCTCTGAGAACTTTTCCCTTACCATACCTATTCAAAGTATTGGATGAGAAAAGCAAATGTTATGAAGGTGGTTTAAATAGAACGTATATTTAAACAATGGGTTACTTCCGTGATCTCTCCTGCTGTAACTAGTCTGTCCAGCTCACTTCTCTGCTGTCAGGGTTGCTCACTCTCTCCACTTTCCCCAGGGAAGGACATCTGCAAATCGACCCACCATGGCTGTGAACACATTTGTGTTAATCATGGCGATTCCTATACCTGCAAATGCTCAGAGGGATTTGTTCTAGCCGAAGACAGAAGACGGTGCAAGAGTAAGTGATCTGAACTTGGCCTTCTGCTTTGGTTTGTTTTGGGAGCAACTGCATTTGGAGTCCTTTCAGGGAACAAATCCCTCACCTCTGTTTCTCCCATAAATATAAATATGTAAATGGGCATAAATACAGAATGGGGCTGGAGAGTTGAACTGTAGCACTTGTGGAAAAACTTTTGTTTTAGTTAAAGACAGTAAGTTCACTATCAATCAAAAAGCTAGCATGTTCTTAGGCTGAATAAGAATAAGATCTTAGGCTGGAATGAGGGAGGCAGGACTTGGCTGTGCTCTGTGCTGGGCAATTACACTCAGTTCTGGACATTGTACTTTAAGGAGAGTGAGATGGATCAAAGGCTTAAGCAAACAAAAAAATCCCCACAAAACTACAAAGTAGCAGGAAAAATCTTGAGAGAATTATTTTGTAATCTCAAAGGTGAAAAGGTCTTTCTCAATATGATATAACATGAAACATAAAGACTGTGAAAGAAAAAAGAGGAAATATTAAGAGATTAAAGCTATGGCACCTTTTTAAAAAACCGATTAGTTATCAGAGATTAAAAAGAAATTTAATGATTCCTTATATTGGCAAAGTATATTTTAATAGGTAACTATAAATTTATCACTAGGTTTCTAAATTGGTATTACATCTAGGAAGACAGTGGCAATATTTTAAAGGTAGTTCTACTTTTAGGAGTTTATCCTACTGATATGTCCACATGTTCATAGAGCCATATATTGTATAAAGATGTTTTGTGCAACATTATTTGTAGCAGCAAAAAAAAAAATGGAAACAAGCTAAATGTTCATCCATAAGAGACTAAATTGTGTTACATCAAACAATAGAATGCTATGCAGCTGTTAAAAAGAATGAAGGGTCTCTAGATTAATCCCCAAGATATTTTAGACTTAAAAAAAGAAAGTATGATCCTAAAAAGTTTTTATAGTTTTTTTAGTGTTTATGTATTTTGTAAGAGGCTCCCTCCAACATACAGCCTCATGATTGATTGATTGATAGACACGCACACATTTTATTCCCAGTGTATATTTTTTTTAAAAAATTAAAGGAAGATAGAGACAAGCAAGATTTAGAAAGAATAAGCATCATGGTGAGGAAGTTCAGTATAGTGTGAAGTGAAAAATAAATAAATTCAGGATCTTTGTAGAGAAAAATAAAGTGGGGATCAAATACTTAAGCGACAGTCACCTCATTCATGATTTATATGACCCGCTCACTCCAGGGAAAGGAAATTAGGCAGAAGCTACAGTTCAGCATGAAGACAGAAACACTCTAAGATAAGCTGTATGATTAATTAGATAAGATCATGAGCTTCAGTAAGACAGGCTTGGATTTGAACCCCTACTCATACTTGTGTGACCTTGGACAAATTACTTCTCTTTGGTGTCAGTGCCTTCACCTATTGTATGAAGATAATGCTTCACAGAATTGCCTTGAGAAAAATTTGGTCATGTATTTGAAAGTGCCTACCTCTGTGCTGGCACATGCAAAGTGCTCATTTAGCGATAGGTATTGTACCCACCAAGAGCTGCCCAAAGACAGGGCTCTAGTCGTGAGGTGAGGTGTTTGCTCTTCTTAGGGAATGTTGATCAGGCCCAGTAACTACAGGGTATTGATGTTGTAAAGATGAAAGCAACAAGGAAGGTTACACTCAGTGACCTTTAAAGCTCATGTCCAGCCCTAACGGTCTGCACCTCTGGAAATTAAGGGCTGGAAGCAAATCACAGCTCCATTCTAGTCTCATTAACTTAACCACGGAAGGAAAATGACCAAGGAACATTAGCACGACTCTCCTGCTAACAAGTAGCCAGCCATTCTTCCTGGGCTAAAAGCAAATGTCTGGCACCGCCTTTCCATTCTACCCAGCATTCTTGCTTTCTGGAGAAGCCTCTGCCCTCCATTACAAGGAGGCTGCAAGTCTGGTTTTGTTCTATGGGGAAGAGGAGACAACAGACTTGCTGCTGAAACAATATTCTAATATTTCTGAAATCTGCTGGATTTCAATCTGCCATGTGCACACTGTCTGAGTCTTTTTTTTTGGTTTGTTCAAAAAGAGGCTATGAATATAAATGAAGCTCTAAATTGACCTTTTCCTCTTTCACTGATAAAGGATCAATAGGCTGAGTAATGAGGACAATCATTTAATAGAGAAAGAGGAACCAAATGTCCCAACACACACACAAATATAAGTCATTATATTAGCCTGTTAGTCAAGCCAGGCATAGAAATACTTTTGCATGTGTGTGCCTTTATTTGATTGTATTTTTTTGCTTCACTTTCAAATGTTAGACAGCTGCTTGCTGTATAAAACATTTTCTTGCATACTGTAGGCTGTTTGAAATGAGATCATCCATTTGGGATCTGTAATATTTTTTATATGGCCCTAAATAACGAAAAATTTTCCACACCCAGATTGCTTAAGTACTTACATAAAGCTTTTACTGTCAGCCACCTGAGTTTCCTGAGAAGCTTCTACAGAAAGAATCCAGAGTGGTAATTTATTTTTCAGTTAGTGTGGCTCAGTAGGGCACTTACAGGTGTGCTGTGTAATGGATGCCACTGTTTTCATTTATTCTGTTACCAAGCACTGGTTGAATTGTGTGCCAGGTGTTGGGACAAAGAAATGAATGAGACTTGGCCCCTGCTGAGGAGGAACTGGCAGACTAGAGGAAGAGCCCAGCACATCATCAGGAGCTATATTGTAAGGGTGGAGTAGTGCACGGAGTTCCCTGGAATTTAAGCACTTGGTGCCAGGGCCTTGGTCCTCACTGTCATCCTGCTGTGCCTCGCATGATTCCAGAGCTCCATTAGCAAATGTTGGTTGAATGAATTAGTAGTGTTAGGGGTACAAGTAGAAGCTGCAAAGCTTCTCCAAAAGCAATGACGGTTGGACTGAATTTGAAGAACGTCCTCTGTTATATCACAGAAAGCCCGCACTAGGGTGCTATTATCCTTGTGGAGTAGTCATAGGAATTTTTTGGGGTGCTGTCAGACCCTTCAATGTACTTGACCCACAGCCCCTCCCAGACCTAGCTGTGAGTGACCCAGAGTACAGTGTGGACCTGGTTTCCTGGACAATTTGTACCTTTGCTGTGTTTTTACTTGTGACAAGCTCCTTAAGAGAAATGTAAAAAGTACTGTTGCTTGTTACTTTTGCAGTTCCTCCTGTGTGTCCAGGCACACCATGATTTCCTCCTACTCTTGTGCACGTGACTTTTTATCACTTAAATTTCTCAACTTTCCTTTCATTCCTATAGGATGCACGGAAGGCCCAATTGACTTGGTCTTTGTGATTGACGGATCCAAGAGCCTTGGGGAAGAGAATTTTGAGATTGTGAAGCAGTTTGTCACTGGAATTATAGATTCCTTAGAGATTTCCCCCAAAGCTGCTCGAGTGGGGCTGCTCCAATATTCCACACAGGTCCGCACAGAGTTTACCCTGAAAAACTTCAGCTCGGCCAAAGACATGAAAAAAGCTGTGGTCTACATGAAGTACATGGGCAAGGGCTCTATGACTGGCCTAGCCCTGAAGCACATGTTTGAGAGAAGTTTTACCCAAGGAGAAGGGGCCAGGCCTCTTTCCGCCCGGGTGCCGAGAGTGGCCATCGTGTTCACAGACGGACGGGCTCAGGATGACGTCTCCGAGTGGGCCAGTAAAGCCAAGGCCAATGGTAATGTGGGATGGATGTGTGGCTTAAACCACTCAAGGTCCCAGTTTCTTTAACTCCTGCAGTGGTCACTGGGCATACAAGTGAGATTTCTTTGAGAGTATGGAAGGGATTCCTGTCATTTGCTACATACATCTTTACAAAACTGCCATCTACAGGCCTTATCAGCACCACCAGAGGGTAAGAGATTCTGGGGAAGAATTCTGGGGAAGGAGAGAGCAGTTAGTCTACACACAGAACAACCTGAGTTCTCACCTACTGCAGCCCACTAGTCAGTGTGTGGTGTCCAGTGGAGAGAATCAGCTTGTTACTTGATCACAGAAAAATATACAAGAGTTCCCCAAAACCGGTTTGGTTGCTTTTGAATTACCTGAAGAATTTGGTAAAATAGATTCCTAGTGGGAAGAACTTTTACTGATATTTTAATTTAAAAAAAATCAGTACTTCAAGTGGACACTCTAAGGGTGTAATTGCCTTGGGATAGAAAATACTCTTGGGCTTGCAGGAGGCAAAAAAGCTTTTGAGAAAATAAAAATGTTGGAGGAGATTATGATTCTAAACTCTTGTCACTCACTAAAGCTCAGCCTCTTCCCTATGGATTTTCTGATCCCATGTATACTGCAAGGAGGCACTTGAGCTTTCTTTAGTTGCATATAGACATGAAGTATGGCAGAGGACTATGGCCTTTGAAAAATGAAAATCCAAAGCGAGGGTGGTTGGTAGAAACAGTGTAAGGTCAAGTGTCTGGATTTCCTGGGGCGATGAGAAAACTGGAGGTATTAAAGCATTTTACTTAAAAGCTACTTTCCTTAAGGACTTGTTGAGGGCAAATTGCTTTAAGAGGTCGTAATAGAGGGGGGAAGGGTGTGCACAGATGAGGGCTTCATTAATTTTATGGCTCCAGTGCCTGCATCAGGCCTGGCAGATAGCATGTGCATGACTAATACTTACTGAGAGAATGAACAAAGGAGTGAAGGTACTAGCAACCCCATCAGTGAACACCATTCGTCCTCACAGAAAGACTGGGTCACATCAGCATCAATCACTCTCCTTGTAATGGGAAGCCCTTCCATACTCACTATTCATTCTGCTTCTCTGAGCCTAGTAGAGTAATAGCCACCAAAAGTGTTGTGCCCTGAATCATCTGGGTGGATTGTAAAATCAGCTGCTCACTTCCAGTTTCTCTGTTTCTAGACTAGCCTGCTAGATAGAGCTCATGTCAAACCCAGGGGCTTCTTTAGCTTATATTCTTAAAGATATCTAGGAAAGCATCTTGTCTCCAAAAATTGTTTAGCCCTCTTATTATCTCAGCGAGACCACCTTAACCGTTCCTCTACTCAGCTTTCCAGGAATTACCTAAAGACAGGTGGTAGATGAAATAGATATTTATTTGATTCTGAATCAACAAGGTTTATCTGAAGTGACATCCTCAAAATGAATTTAATTACTCCCAAGTGTAGTTAACACCATCTGAAAATGGTAGTTATCCTTTTTAGGAAGTTGTGCATAAAAGTCACAGTGGACTACTGCCCTTACACTGACTTAGAACAAGGCATAACTCCTGTGCCTTGATTTAAGGAGTCATTTTATGTGTATTTTTAAAAAATGTGGTCTAATGAGTTAGCCAAAATGAGATAACAATGCTGAAAATATTGAAAAACAAGTAGAACTTGAGTTTTTATTTGTTGCTTTCAAAGGAAATGTATTTCTAATCATTTAGAAAAGCTTTTGGAAAAATCTCACATCCCTGTTGAAATCTGATGTTGATACTTGGGTTTATCCTAGTTCTGCCTTTGAGGGTTTCCTACAGTCTACAGATTCTCCTTTTCAGCTTAGGACCTCCTCACAAGACTTCATCCTTCCAAGAGGGTTGGGCAGGATGCAGCTTTGCTTGACCCCCTGGTTGCTTAACAGTCTTATCCTGTACCTCTGAAATGCAGAAACTAGGTTATAAGGTCATATATTGACTTGCTTCTTAAAATTCTCTCAGAAGAAGAGATTCCCATTTAGTAAGCATTAGATAATGCTCTTTTCTACTTTATCCACAAGGCTAATTCAAAGAAAAGTGAAAGACTTAAGTTACCTTGCTTAGTGCTGAGCAACACAGGTTGGAGATCTAACTCCCCCAACCTCTCCTACATGCTTCACATTCCTGTCTTGGATCTTCCTCTTGCTCATAGGGTCAAAATTCAAATGGTGGAAAAATAGAGAGTGGTTGACACGGACTTCTCAAATCTCCTCACTTAATATCTAGCTAGCTTTGCATATAGTACCCACGACTTCAGACCCTGGGAACACAGCTCTAACTTCCTTGTTCTTAATTTGCTCTGCCCCTTAGGTGTAACTATGTATGCTGTTGGGGTAGGAAAAGCCATTGAGGAAGAACTGCAAGAGATTGCCTCTGAGCCTACAAGCAAGCATCTCTTCTACGCCGAAGATTTCAGCACAATGGCCGAGATAAGTGAAAAGCTAAAGAAAGGCATATGCGAAGGTATTATAACTTACATCTCAGCAAACAGGACAGCAAGAACCCTTGAATGAGAACTTTTCTACCCATTCTTTCAGTGTTCCAAAAAAGTGCCTCCACAGTGGGCAGGGTGGGTGATGCTAAGAAACACTAAGTACAAAATGTGGAACAGGGGAGAATATAAAAGTGATAACTAATATTGCCTGAGTGCTTGCTGTGTGCTGAGCAGTATAAGTGTACTGACTATACCAGCGTATTTAATAGAGATGATTGTTTCACTAAGACACGGCCATTGTATGTATCAGGAGAGCCACTGCCAATTTCAGGATATGCCTGTAATCAGAATGGACAGGACAGTAGTCCTTCCAAGCCCACTGTTGAAAATGAAAGAATGCTTCCTTTGTGGACTACTGTTTACAGAACAGAACTGCTCTTTAGAATTTGTATTTTTTATGTATGAGTTCTGTATGCTTTTCTCCTGTTCACTCATTTTGCCAGCTATGGTTATATATAGCAATTCTGCCCATTTTTCCTTTTCCTCATGTCCCAGGTTCAGTTACCAATAAAATCCCAGTCTAAGGGATGTGCCTATATCCTCTAAAGAAAATAAAAAACAGGGCCTCCCTGGTGGTGCAAGGGGTTAAGCATTGCAGTATGAAGTAATCCATGGCCTCTACAGCACGAGTTCAATCCCCAGCCAGCCAAGGAGCAACCCACATGGCACGGCAAACCTCTCCTGTCTCACCTGCTGCTACCCTCAGCAGTGTACTTCAGTCAGTCTGCCTGTTCTGCTCCCCACTCTGTCTCTGGTGAATCCTCTCATCCCCTGCACCTCTTGCCTGTACCCCAGCTCTTGTGCATAAATCAATCAATCTTTAAAAAACAAACAAAAACAAAAAACAATGAGATGAAGGGGGACCAGAGAGAGGAGGCCTTTCAGATTTCTAATCCAAGTAGATAATTAATGTTCTTTCTTTTTTTTTTTTAGATTTATTTATTTATACAAGAATCGGGGTATAGGCTAGAGGTGTGGGAGAGTGAGAGGATTCACCAGAGACAGAGCGGGGAACAGAAAAGGCAGACTGATGAAATACACTGCTGAGGGGAGCAGCAGGCGAGTCAGGGGAGGTCTTTCGTGCCATGTGGGTTTCTTCCTGGCCAGCTGGGATTGAACCCCCACTGCAGAGGCTACGGACAGCTTCACAGTGTGGTGCTCAACCACCTGCACCACCAGGGAGGCCCAGATAATTAATGTTCTATTTGACTCAAGTTGAAATGCCCTCAAGTGGAGATGCTGCCAGTTCAGCTTAATCCTTGGACAACTTCAAGTTTTATTCTCACCCTGCCTTCTACATGCCATTGGGGAAGGGGTCGTAATCTTACGGAAAAAGATGCACATAACACGTCCAGGTTCCTCTAACTGGAGAGAACTGCCTTCGAGTAATCTTGGATTATCATCTAAATAACCAGTTGCTTTTCAATCTGTGGTGTTACTAAATAAAATCAAATATCCTGGGTTATGGCAGACAGATAAGGAGTTGGTCTGGGATGAGTTTCCCAAAGGACACATGCCTGCAAGTGGACAATTGTCACTCCTCTTGGTCATCTTTTTTTTTTTCTCTCAGCTCTGGAAGACTCAGGTGGAAGTCAGGATTCCCCAGCAAGGGAATTGCCAAAAAGGGTCCATCAGCCAACAGGTAATTTTTAACTTAAATTTTTTTCACATCATTGTTCATTTTTAAACAATATTTTCTTCCCCCATAGTTAGTCCCCATAGTTTCCTTCACCAATGCACCCGTGCACGATCACCTCAGTCCCCTGTGATCCTTCCTCCCTCCCTCTGATCCCTCTCCCTCCTCCTCCCCTGCAGGATGTCTCTGGTTTATAACTGTCAGTTTTATTTTGCTGTGTTTTGTATTATTATTTTTTTACACTGATGTCTTATTTGGTTCCCCTATATTCCTCCTATAAGTGAAATCATCCAATATTTTTCTTTTTCCTTCTGACTTATTTTACTGAGCATAATTCCTCCTAGCTCCATCTACCCAACAGGTAATTTTTTTAAAGCAGTGTTTTTAGACCCTTTATTGGATGCTTCCACCATGCTTTCTCCTCAGACAGCTGTAAAAAATCAAAAGTAAGATTTTAATTGTCAATAATGACTTATTTTTCTATCTCTACCTGATAGGAAACATTTTGCTACATTTTTAAAACCATAGTTAGAAATAGTCTTTCTGCTGACAGTCTTTTTGCTACAGTAAGTTCCAAAGTAAAACTGTTCCACATGCTAGGAATACCATGCACCTTACTCTGACCACTGAGGGTTGTTTTATAACTGTAACTGTGTTAAGCAGGTTTGACTTCAGTTTTCTTTCTCTTGACAGAATCTCAGCCAGTCACCATAAATATCCAAGACCTACTTTCCTGTTCTAATTTTGCAGTGCAACACAGATATCTATTTGAAGAAGACAATCTTTCACGGTCCACACAAAAACTTTTCCATTCAACAAAATCTTCAGGTAATTCCAAGTAAAATACCACTGTATGGTAATTTGAAAGCCTCTCAGCTTGTGAATAAACTCAGCTTAAAAGAAGGAAAAGGACAGGAGGAAGCAGGAAATGGGATGGGGGAAAGAGAACTTATGTGAGAAAAAAAAAATAAACTGAAAGAAATAGTAGTCTTCCCCAATCCACAGTAAAGGCCACTTCCCGTGTTGGAAGCATATAAATCCCTTTCCTGGTATTTACTGGATCTGGCCACATGGAAAAAGTTGAACGTGTCTTTCACTATGGTTTCCTTCACATGCTGATTCAGACTGATTTTATGCATTTGGGAAATCTGGTGGGTTATAGAGGTAAAAGCTTTCCATCTGCTTTCTCAGGAAATCCTTTGGAAGGAAAACATGATCAATGCAAATGTGAAAACCTTATAATGTTCCAGAACCTTGCGAATGAAGAAGTAAGAAAATTAACACAGCGCTATATCCTTTGCTAATATCATGCTTCTGTATGGAATGCAAAGAATATTATCAGAACTTCACAAATACTACAAGTGGGCATATGTCAGGTGAAGTCATTTACATGAAGTCAAGAATAATGAATGCCAGAAAAAGTTTTTTACTTAAGCAGTTGTTTGAGATCCAAGGGCAGGTCAAGCTTAGCGGCAAGGGTCAAGCCTTTAGTTGTTATCTGCTGTTCTAGATAATTTAGCAATAAAGCCAGTCAATTAGTATGCAAAGTAAAGAAAAAACAGATTTGTTTAACTCCTTTACTGCTGGGAGGAAATGGGAGAGATGTGCCTCCCATGAGATGTGTACATTAAGGGTACTCTGTGTACAGGCAAAGAATGTTTTAGAATGGATAATTTTCAAATTCCTTCTAAGCTCAAACCTTTCCTCTGGCCACAAGACACGCTACAGCCACACTAGTCATGTGTGGTTGCCTGAGGACTGGTTTTGTTTGTCTTTTGGGTTTTTTTGTTCCTTGGCAGCAAAGATCTTTTTTATCGCCACTGTAAAGGATGAAGCATGCTACCAAGGGAACAGCAGGATCCAGTGATTCATTAAAACAGTATTACAAGTAAATATTACAAGTAAAAGGAATGCTTGCGATAATGGAGAAATGGGGATTCTGTGATTTTACACACACAACACCCTGCCAACTGCTCTGAACTTAAACTTACAGTAAACTTACTAAAGCCGGCTAGTATCTGCCTCAACATGCATCAGCTCCCTGTAGAGAGATGGTTTAATTTGAACTATCTCTGTGCAATGGGTTTGTATAATAAGGAACAGAATATAGCTATTCCCTTTCTGAAAGCTGGAAATATGCTCCTCCTGATTAAAATAATCTAACAGCAGTTGTAGAGGGCTCTCTTCTGCCACCAAGGGGCAGGTGGAGGGTATTAAGGAACATACAAGGAGGAGGTCAAACACACTCTAATTACTCTAATGCCCCTTCCTCTCCCTTTCCCACAATACCGCTGAAAGTCCACTTCCAAGGAAAACCAAGTCAGTTAAAACAAAGTATAGGTCAGCATTCTTCAAGGCTTCTCCCCTTTAGCGGTAGCTGGCGTCAACGGCATAAACTCGCCATCTGCCTTATCTTACGATGTCCCATCTTACTTCCAAGTTCTGATCTTTCCCTCTTCTTCACCCATTCCCAGTCAGTTCTGGCTATGGCAAACTGATTTATAAGCAATAGGGGAGTAGAGCTACAAATTACAAAAAAAATAATAATAATTTAGACTGATGTTAGTACTTAACCTGGAATGTATTTATAGTCCTGATAGCATTTGTTAGTATAAACTTACAAGTCAGGGTTTTAAAATACTTAACAAAAAACGAGGGGGGGGGGCAGCCTTTTATTTTTCAGAACAGCCCTATTTTTACGTAAGTAAATCAAGTTGTATTTGAATGAAAATAAACTAGGCAATTCAGATTTCTCTTCCTTAATTTGAGATCTACTAGAAGAAATGACACAGAGGATGGAAGCCCTGGAAAATCGCCTGAGATACAGATGAAAATTAGAGATGCTCTACATTGTTTGTATGCCATGGTATCCAGGATTACAGTGAAAGCTGTTCAGGGTCCCAAAGTTCAAGCTATTATTGATTCTGTAAAGTAAAACATAACAAGTACTGAGAAAGCTGGTTTGCTATAGAATGGGCCAAAGTAAGCACTAACTTGTGTAAATTTGAGAGAAAAAAATCCTGAATCCTAGAATGTTTACCAAGAGAATAAGCTATGCAAGGTATTCTGTAACATGCTGTAGACAGGATTTGCTTTTGTCTCCTCCTGCCTTAGAGTTGTGATCTTATTTGACTACAAAATGAAAGTTTGCAGTCTTACTTCTCGAGAACACTGGCCACAGGAAAAGCTATTTTTTGTATTGGAATTTACCTTGATATATGTATATGGATGTATGCATAAAATCGTAGGACAGATGTACTTGTATAACAAGTTGAATTTTTATACAGTATTAAAATGCACCATTTCAGAGAATGGTATCCTGTATGTAATTCTTAGCTTACCTTATTCTTTTTTTCATGGGATAATCACTTTTATATTTTGAGGCAGGCAGGCAGGCTAAATGAGGGAAGAAGGAAAGAAGGAAGGAAGGAAAGAAGGTATATCAGCCAATTTCACAGCACTTGTAATACAAGTAAAGTGTCCTTTCCTGAGCCATTTAGTTTCTCTTTGTGGAGGAGGGGAGTCCTAGGGCAGAGGGTATGGATCTTTTTCACTGAAGTCCCCCAAACAGGGCCAGGGAGAGGGGAAAGCTGCTTTGGGCTTCCCAGGAAAGTGGACCTCCTGTGGGAAGCCTGATCCACACCTGAGGACCCTCGTGGAGTAAGGTAGGTCTCTCTCCTCCAATGCCTTCTGGTGTCTTTGCAGAGCTGGCCACCACATCTGTTTTCCTCCCAGCACATGAAGGACATTGATCTTTTTTGTGGTGGCCCTACCGTCCTGTATACACACTGTCCGCAGCTCACTAGACTCTATTTCTGGTTGGAACTGGTTGGAGGTAGTTCAGTATGTTTCCATTTCTGGCTGGATCTAGTTCTGGCCAGCTTGAAACTGTTGCGCTTGGAGGCAAAGCCCAACTCTGGGCCCAGTGCACTGGCTAACCCCTGAGTGCAAGCCAAGCCTGCTGGTTCACCACAGGAACCTTTAGGAAGAGCCCAAGATCAGGTTTGGTCGGCTGGTCAACCTCAGAGCTTTGAGCGTGGTCGCAGAGGCCAAGGCCTGCTGGCCGACTTCTTGCCTCTAACCTGGTAAGCCTGCAGACCAAGCCTGGTTGGCTGATCGACCTTGGTCTTGGAGCTAAGAGGCTCCAGGGTCCTGAGGCCAGCTGGCTGACTGCTTTCCACTGATCCCCATAATATGCAAGAATAGTAAGGCCGACTGGTGTACCTCAACTTGGAGCTCCTAGGGATGTGGCCCAAGACCTGATGGCTGATTGCTTGCCACTGGCCCCCGCGAGTCTGCAGGCCAAATCCAGATCTGTGCCCTGTTCCGAGTCTGACCATCTGGCTGAACTCTGACTTGGAGCCATGAGGCCAGAGACTGGATTCTTTGCTTAACTTTAAATGCAAGGTATAGATACATGAGAAACAGCCAATAAGCTTATAAAAAAAGTTTAATCTTTCTTGCCCCTGGGCAAGCTCCTCTAGCTATCAGGAGGGAAGCTGTAGACAGTGACAGGGTAGGGCTCCGGGTGAGTAGTAAAAATATACATCTAAACGGAATTCAATAAATCCACATCTATCTATGGCAAAACTCAGATAAATCTAAAGTATATGGTAAAGTATGTTTCTCTACTTTTCAAACCATTTCTGAAAGAAAAAAATACTAGTTCAAAGACACATATACACATATTAAGTACAAATGTTCTGGAAGGATATGTCCCTGGGAAAATAAGGCAGTGGGACAGTCAAATGAACACTTCAACTGTATGTACTTCAGTTCAAGGTACCTAGAGCAGCAAAGAACACAAGTGATAGTTTTGTTAAGAAACTCAAAAGGACATCTACCCCAGGGAAGCTATTGTATCCTGGAAGCCAGGTGATGCTTTATAAACAAAACGCTTTGAATATACTTAAGTCTAAATATTTCAAGACAAGTCTTTCCATCAGAAAGTCCTCCCCAAGGGCAATGTGCTAGAGTGGAAAGAACATTCCTTAAGCCTATCTTGTCCAAAAATCTTGATTCTTTCCATATATAAGAATTGACTCAAAATATTACACCTTCAGTTTACTTTAGAATCATCCACTTGATAATGAAAACAGATTCTCATCAGGAAGTAAAATAATGATTTGTGTTGGCATTACTTTCTGAGAAGTAAAACTACCTTCCATTTAGTTCAATTCTACTTCACTTACTGCTGAGTCCCTGCTCCCTCTAGTGGCTGTGGAGACAGTGGCCAGCTTTTTTAAGCTATTAAACTCATCTCCAGATTTTCAACTATCTCTAACTAGGGGAGAGAATCAGTTTAACCTTCTGAGAAACAAAGGTCTCTCACCAACCTATCAAATTTACAAAGTAACTGAAGATATTTAATGTTTGAAGTACTCTATTTTCCTTATTTCTGGCATTAAGGCCTTCAAATTTGTTTCATTATCATGCGACTTTTTCAAACTTTGATTTCCTTACCTGTTAAATGCAACTAATAGTACTACACACTGGGTTGTCAAGAGGATTAAATGGGTTAACATGTACTCTACGTTAGTGTCTATTATTTTAAATGCTAACATTCTGGACTCGCCAACTACAAGCTTATCAATGAGAATAGTGTGTTTCAAGCCCTAGTCTTTATTCAATCTGGCTTTTTGACTGTATTAGGTACCAGGCACGTAAGTGATATAGTGAGACAGCTGATTAATACATGAAAAACAAGTCTGTGGTAACTCAGAAGCATCCAACCTAGACTGCAAGAGAATATTGGAATAAGCTTAGAAAAATATGAGCAATGGGCCTCCCCGGTGGCGCAGAGGTTGAACGCTGGGTTGCGAAGCTGCCCGCAGCCTCTGCAGCACCGGTTCGATCCCCGGCTGCTCCCCGGCCACCAGGGGAGGGTCCCACATGGCGCGCAGACCTCTCCTGCTGCCCACTGCTCCCCTCAGCAGTGTACTTCGGTCCTTCTGCCTGCTATGCTCCCCGCTCTGACTCTGGTGAATTCTCTCACCCTCCCTCGCTTATGACTATACCCTGCTTGTATAAATAAATAAAAATCTTAAAAAAAAAAAAGAAAAATACTGGCAAATGTCACGGCAGGCAAAGGGAACAAATCTAAGGGGTTGGAAATAAGAGTTACAAGATCAGAATTTTTCATAAACCAAATTACCATATTCTGGAAGATACAAGTAACTATTCATTCAGAGCAGCCTAAGTGTAGCTTTTCTCTATCCCCCTTTGTTATTCTCCGCATACCAGAGACCACAAGGAACAATCAACACCTCAGCTCTTTGGTTTTTCCCTACCTCCAGACCTGCCTGAGTATCTGGCAGCAACTTAATGGCACCTCATCAGTTGCCCCAGCTGCCTATCAGTTGATTCTAGAGTCCAGAAAGAGTGAGGTTATGTTTTCTATCTTCAGAAAAGGTAAGCCAAATCATCACCATCTAGAATATTACTTTCTAAAAGCTATCTTTCAAAAAAATGCCTGCAGTGTGAAAGCCATGCAAATGGAACCATTGCAAAGAGGTGGAACACTGGCACCCACAATACTATATTCTTCAGGTCACTACCCCTTAAAAATCTAAATTGGAACCAGTCAACCCCGAGGGAAAGCAGTGTAGTAATTCAAATAGCATTTTGAAAGTTGACCGAGTGAAGGGGAAAAACAAGCACACATAAACTTCCCTACTGAGACTGAAACTATGGAAATGGACTAACTGCGACAGATATTTTTAGGCACTTTGGGACATTTACCTCTTTTTATGTAACTTGAGGGCTCTTACCCAGGAGTTGCTACATGTTCAATACCTGACTCTGGATAAAGCATGGAAGGTATCCTCACCTAGTCACCAGTGCCTATCAACTGACTCTAAAATCCAAAAGACATAACCATTTCTGACACTTCTATATCCTTCCTAGACTGTGGAGTGTATACAAGGTCTGTACCATCCAAATGCATAAATTAAAAGATATATCTAAACCAACATTCTCTCCATCCCCAGTAATTCTTGAATGTTCCAAAGGATATTAACAGATATGGGAAAAAGGTTCCACAGAACATACTTCAGTTTCTCTTAGGGCTAAAATTATATACAGCACAATTTAGGCCACTGTAGACTCAACATTTATTGAACATCTGTTAATTCTGAAATCATCCAAGTAATTTCAATACCCCAACCACTGCAAACCATTAAGATCCTTCTTTACTCAAGTTGAACAGAACTTTCCTCAGCCTGTGACAATTTTCTGGGTGAGGCAAACAAATTTCATTTAATCTCTTTGCTACTCAGAAATGGCAGATTTAAGCTGGACTGTAAACTACAATTTTGGTTAAATTCCAGGTATTGAACTTAGCACCTCTCAAACATAAAATGCCAACCATGTCCTGAAACTGGGATTATGACAATTAACTCTTAAAACAAAGACTTAACAAGAAAGGAACACAATTTACTTCCTTTACAAACACAAGAAGATGGTAATTGGAACGTATAGCTCTTATTCCCTCACAGTCTTATCTGAGATTTAACTGCCTCATCCTCTCTAATATTCAGAAAAGTGTACTGAGACAAGTTACAAAGGAAAAAATGAAAACGAATACAGTGTTTTTAAAACAAGCTCCGGCCAGTTTTATTAAAGAAAAATTTTACATGATTTACTTTTCACCAGTCTGTTCTGGCATGCTTCTAATGATATCAGAATCACCTAGAAAATAAAACAGTCATTTTACAATTTGTTTAATATGAAGTGGTAATCATCAAACTAGCAGTGGTTATGCTGATGTTATCACACTAGCTGTGCGGTCACTTCTTGAGGTTATTCAAAGATACCTAGAGTCACAAACACTGTCCACACAAAATCCATCATATAAATCAGTCTTAGTTTATTACCAGCATATAGAAAACCAGACCTAGGGTAAGAACTAGGCCTGGGGACACATGCATGGTCATAATATAGCGAATGTTTAGCCTGCCCTGATTATCACAAAATCAGAACAGCGAGAATATTCGCCGTTATGTTATGATTTAAAACTAAGTTCAAAATATAACAGGATTTATATTTGTAAGGCACTTGTTTTCCTCTTATTTACCTGTCTGTTCTCAGGAAGCCAATAAGGTACTGTTTCACCTAATTATTCTCCCCCTTTATCATTTCACCTTTACCAAAGTCCTACAAGTCATAATTTCTGAGGTGCTTCATGAAATAAAATTCACCTCAAAATTAAAAAAATTAACTTATAATGAAGTAATTATAATGGGCTAACATTATCTATTTGATGTAAAATGATACTACAGACTTCCCCTTGCAATAGCCAAATTCTCACTAACTGAACAAAGTAACCAAAGACATCTATATAGCAAGGAATACTTGTATTTTAAAGGGGAAAAATAATTTTATGATTCAAAGAGCATACCTGGGTCAATGATAGCCAGTGTGCATACTCTGTAGTATTTTCCACACGCTGTGCCCAATTCAATATTATTACCACTGTAGTGATGGACACCAGTTTTGGCCAACATGGCGTAGTACTCTATTTCAGATTTCCTGTGGGAATCAAAAACAGGGACAATATATGCCATACTAAGTGACCGACAGACTTAGGGTTACTACTTCTCTCATAGTGTTTATCAGAATCAAACAGTAATTAAGCCAGTTATTACTGTCAAAAACACTATCATATCCACCAGCTAATATGACCTGTTCTTTTGTTGGATCCTTTCAGAGATGGGGAAACCAGTACTATCTACTGAGCAGCTACCATGTTTAAGATGATATTTATGCTAATGGACACTAGAGAGTAAAGTGCAAAATAAAAGCATTATTTACTTAATTTACTTAGCATTTACTACATGCCAGACTCTATAATTCTCATGGTAATCTCTTAAGTCCCCCCCTTTTTTTTAAAGCTAATGACGATAAGTGAGGTGCAGTATAAATAGCAGAGGATCCAGAAACTGAACCTATGTTATCTTAAAAAACAAACATTTCTATAATCTGGTGTCCAAATCTTAGATAGGGGATGATATTACTTACCCAGTTAACATTTCTATGTCAACTGTATAGGCAGATGGCTTTATAAATTCCAAGAGAGCCCTAATGGAATCATGCCATTACTGAATGTATGCACCCACAAACCAACACTGCCACAAAGTGCTTCTTAAAAATGCATAATCTCAGGCCCCATCCCAGACTCATGAGATCAGAACCTGTATTTTAACAAGATCACTCTTGTGATTGTGTGCACTTCATGTTTTAAGAAGCACTGTCACAGAAGGCAGGTTTGAAAGATTAGGGGTAAGCCCCAAACGCAAGATGGGATGCAGAACACCCAAACTTTGTCAATTATATAAAATGCTGTCCTCACAGGACATTATGCCTTACCACTGAAAAATCAACCCCCAGTTAGTAGACTGAAAACACGATATATTTACAAAGTCAAAGTTTCTAAAACTTATTTACCCTTTTAATTCAATTTCAAAAGTGAGCCAAGCAAAACTATGGGTCTGGGAATTGACAAGTAGGATGAATTAGTTAAGTCAGGCCAGCTTGAACTTTTCTAATCTAGTTTTATTACAGTAAAACAAGTTTATCCATCAAGTACCTTTAAAGCACCTCAAACCAAAAAACGCAGGATACAGAAAAATTACGTGTTTGCTTCCCTGAAAAGATGCCGCTCTATGGTTTTAACCTTCTGCCACACTCTGCTAGCCAAGCTTCCACATGGTGAGAACATGATTAAGGGAGGGTATCATGAGCCAAACACAATAAGCAACCTTAACTCATTTTACAAGCATTCCTTGGTAAAACATTTCACGAAAAATAGAATTCATGCTATCCGGATTTCAAGTTTACACTTCTAAATATTCGCTAAAGATGAACTTGCAGAGGCGACACACACACTCACACTCCTTCCATTACCTCAAGGCTGGGCAGTTGTTGGCGAGGATGACCAGTTTAGCTTTGCCTTGTCTGATCATTTTCAGAGTCTGCTTGTACCCCAGCACGTACTTTCCACTTTTCATAACAAGTTGGAGCCTAGAGTTGATCGACTCCAGCGACTTTTTCTACAAGGCAAACATTTAACACCTACTTAAACACCTTGTTACCACCTCTAAACGAGATCCATCCAGACTTCTTGAAGCCGAGCCCCTTAATAAAGCCTTCAAAGTAGAGTCCCAAATTACTGAAAGGGCCTCTTGGGGTCCTTCTGTGACCCTCCAAATGCCAGTGGTCATGCTGTCTCCCCTGTGTGCTCAGATCTGCCCGCCCCGGCCGAGACTCCTCTCCACGTGAATGTGCTTCCGGCATGGCCCGCTTGCTTCACTCACCGTCTTCTTTGCGGCCACCATCTTCCTGCCTTAGGTGCGGGATGGCCCCCAACCTAGAATGTAGAGGAGACGGCAGACAGTTTAGGATTCGGAGCTCCAAACGGTAATGCGAAGGACTCCTCGTGATGCCTAAACCTCCACCCGAAGGAGCCCACTCACCAAGAACAGCCGCCAAGATGGCCGGGGAGAGAGAAAGGAAAGAGTTCCCACAATGCAAAGCTCTTCACGGCTGAGCCGAGACACCGGGACCGGAAGCGGAAGCAAATCGCAGTGGAAGGGGCGGGGCAAGCGGCAGAGGATCGGTACTGGTTGCTTTAGATACCCTACTTAACGTGGTAGTGAGACTGTACACTCCGCTTTATAAACTTCGCGGCGCTGTTACTCTGCTGCTCCGATCTGCGCACTGTGAACCGAAGAACATCGAGTCAAGCCGAGAAGCAGTCAGAGGGTGAGACGGTAGGGGCGGTCTGAGGAGGCGGTGGTCTTAGTGTGGCGGAACTCATCTCTGCCCGAAGCCGCAGCTCTAGGGGGAAGACTTCAGGAGGACTCCAGTACGCCTCATTCCCGGGTCTACTCACCGGAAGTAGAAGCTCCGCCGAGCTGAAGCGGCTGCGTGTGCTCCTGGCGCTCGGCTGTCTAGTGGGTTCCTCCGAGGACGGTGGCGATGCTCGCTGGCCGTTGATGACTACGTGATCGTATTAGCGTGAACTTGTAAGACGAATTTTCACAGAGAGCGATAAACCGGTCTATTTATTTTCGTTGTGAAAGTTGGACCTTTATGTAGACATCCAGTGACTAGCGTTCAAAATATTAGGCACATAAAGCATCACCCCCACTGTAAAAAATTTAAAAGATCAGACCAGGGAAGGGGGAAGGAGATGGCTCAAAATAAGGGAGGGAAGAGCACAAGGGACTATGGTGGTGGTTCACGGGTGATGTGGTGGTGGGAGATCTATGGGGACTACACAGGAGCGGAGAAATCAGCTATTGTTCAAAAATAAACAACAATATAAGAAAAAGAAGTAAGGTCAGAACAATAGGTAAACAACTTTTCGTGTCATCGTTTCCTTTTCATACTATTTGAATCTTTTGGCTCAGCAATAGCTACTTTTAGGACTTTATCCCACAGAAAGTCACAGTTGCCTCCAAGACATGTGAACAAAGTTATTTATTTCAACATTTTTAATGGCCAAAAAAACGAGATTAAATGCTTTTTAAAATCCTTAACCAATGATATGCTTATACATACGTAGATAAAATATCTGTAATCATCAAACCTTTTCTCTGAGAGATGAAAAGAATAGTGGTAAGGAGAAGACATTTACTTTTTCGTGTATTTTAATATTGCTTTAGTTATTTTACAGCATGCATTCATTAATGTTGCAGAAAAAGTTCCTTTTTTAATAAGAAAGTGTTTTTTAAATGCATGTCTTCTGAAACGTCAGTTATATCTTAAGTTAGTATTTTTCAGTTCACCTGAGTCAGAATCACCTGGAATTTTGACTCCCAGTATTCACTGAAGTCTGTGGAAGAAATCTCTAGGTGTGGGACATTGTCATCCAAGTTTAATTAGTATCCTAGATAATTCTTACAAATATTAAAATTTGAGAAGTAGAGACCTAAAGAAAGATAGCTAAATTGGTTTTGAAGCATGCTTGCTTACATATACACTAAATAAAGATGCCTTACATTTTTATATTGCGCTCTATACTTTAAAAGCTTTTCAGTATTCACTTTCCCCCAGTAATCAAGATAGATATTGCCCCCATCTCAGAGAATGAATAATTGAAGCACTTGAGGTGACTTTCCTAAGGTGTTTCCCATGATGTGATACCAAATTTCTGGTCCTCACTGTACTGTAAAGAAAAGACTCAGTTGCTTTCTCCCATGGATTTTTTTTTTTGGTAGAACTGGAGTGTGGGCCAGAGGTGTGGGGGCTGGGAGTGAGGGGGGCTGAGAGCATTCACCAGAGACAAACTGGGGACCAGAATAGGCAAGTTTATTGAAATTCACTGCTAAAGGAACAGCGGAAAGACAGGAGAGGTCTGCTGTGCCATATGTGGGTTATATCCCTGGCCAGGGATCGAACTCAGGCCATAGTGGTGATAGCACTGTAACCCCTTGGCTACCAGGGAAGTTCTCTCTCCTGGATCTTAACTGTAGTTTTGTACTAGAAGTCAGAGAAGCCCAAAACACTCACTTGGTATTTGAATCATGATCACAAAATATTTGAAAATTCCTTAAAGGGACTCTTAACTGAATCCATTGTTAAGTCTTTGGAGACAGACTTAGGTAAGTTCTTGATTTTCTGTTTAATGCCTGCATGACTTTGGGCAAATTTCCTAAGCCTCAGTTTCTTTTTTTTTTTTAAAAGATTTATTTATTTATTTATACAAGCACTGGGTATAGTCAGAAGCATGGGAGGGTGAGAGAATTCACCAGAGCCAGAGCGGGGAACAGAACAGGCAGACAGACGAAATACACTGCTGAGGGGAGCAGTGGGCATGGCAGGAGAGGTCTGCGTGCCATGTGGGACCCTCGCCAGTGGCCGGGGATCAAACAGGCACTGCAGAGGCTGCGGGCAGCTTCGCAGCCCAGAACTCAACTGCTGCGCCACCAGGGGAGGCCTCAGCCTCAATTTCTAAGCCATCAATATAACTAGAATAGCGTCTACCTCAGAGTTG